CACACGCACACGCTCACGCACACGCACACGCACACCCACACCCACACACACACACACACACACACACAAAAACACACAACAACACACACAACAACACACAACACACACCACACACACAACATGCACACAACACAACAACAACAACAACAACAACAACAACAACCACAACCACAACCACAACCACAACCACAACGACAACGACCAAGACGACCAAGACGACGACGACGACGACGACGACAACAACGACAACGACAACGACAACGACAACAACAACGACAACAACGACAACAACCACAACAACAACAACAACAACAACAACAACAACAACAACACCAACACACAACTGCACACAACCACACACAACAACACACACACACACACACAGCCACACACACAAACACAACCCCGGTGGTGAGACTCGTCCTCACTTGCTTGGAGCCGGATGCAAAACCCGACATGTGAAGCCCTCAGCCACATGGAGAAAACCTGATCACACCTTTTGCAGGTCCCAGTTGCGAGTCGAATCCCTTCATGAAGTACGCGTTGCCAGTGTTTTTAGGCAGCTCACGGAGGGAAAGTTCATCCTGAACGGTGAAGCTCATCTTGTACTTGATCCTTGGCGAAGGCTTTCAACATTCAGTGCCGAGCAGGATGATCTGATTACACATAGCTGTCTGGATAATACGAGATAGTACAGTACTCTGTTCCTGTACTCCCGAATTGGATCTGAGGTTCATCCTGTACTTGGTGATTCAGTTGCTTCTGTGGGTTTCGGGTCTGTCGTCTCGAATGCTCTGAAGCCACTCCGATCAGGCATCGGCTGAGCTTTAGTGGTGCACCGTGCTTTTGCAGGGACCTGAAAAGTCTTAGCCAGGTGCTTTGGCACAGCACGTCACCACATCACAAGGACTGATTCATTAACACCCGGGGCGGATCATAAACTCCTAAACCAAACCACTGTGCCTGCTGGCATTTCTGGTCTTGTAGGCTTAGCTGTTGAAAGCATGTTTGGGAGTCTGAAGCTGCTTATACGGCTTTAGGTATTGTGCTTGGCTGGGTGTAGGGCTTGGGGTTTTGTTTTCCCTGTTTATGTGACTGTAAATTTATACACATACGTACTTGCTTGATTTGATACTAAGTGTCGTACAAGAAAAACCTTTGAAGTGTGCTACCCGCACGTCGTACTGGCCACTGCCCTCCCTTGAACTCCTTCATGTGGTTGGAAGCTGTTCGTGCATGAAGCGGCAGGGATCACCTACTAGAGACGTGGAAGGCCACAGTATCCTTGCGGAGCCTTGCTGCTGGTATCGTTGTGATTAAATTCGAGGTCAGCACAAGCAAACGGCCGCAGCGCCGTCTATCACTGATAGCTTACGACTGCCATTGTTCTACTTCTCCTCCTTTGTGTTACAGCTTTTCTTTGAGGCTTCCGGTGCTGTTCTCTGTGTCTCTGCTGCTGATCTTGCCATACCTTTCCCTCTCCTATTCTCGGGCTCTGTGAACCTTCTACAGCTTTGGATAGGTGTTTCTTGGCATGCGGTAGGGTCGTGACTCGTGCAGGTGGGTTGTAGCCTCGGCACTGTAGCGCTCATATTACAATTGTTTGAGAAACCTCTCCCAAAGATCCAGGCATGTATACTTCTTATCGAGGCTCTTCGGAGCAGGAAGCGCCACGTCCGGCACATCATAGATCCTGGGCCGTTCGAACTCCTCCAACACCCCAAACTCTGAGCTTGGGTTCCCCGACATTCTCTCTGGCTCGCTCCAGCGCCGAAGAGCGGTTCTATCCGGACGGAACAATCGTTTCCACCCTTTCTTCTAGCATGACCTGCTGCCTTGCTCCTGCGTGTTGTTTCGACCTCAGTGTCTACGATGCATACTTCCCGAATCAGTTCGTATGCAACAAACATAGTGTGGACAGGAGAAAGGCGCAGGAGTGTGAAGACATGCTAGCTGGCTCTTGCGGTGTGAAGGCACGTCTTAAACTCATCCTGAACACCCGGGCCCGCGAAAAATGATCGAGCATACCCAGGAATAGAACATGACTGAAGTTGCCAAGTTGACCACCGGATTCTGAGCAAGCAACTTGGCCGCATCCACACCGATCATTCGTTCCAGCCGGTCCTCCGAGTGGCAAGTAGCGTGCTTGAAGGCTTCATGCCCAGTTGTAAGTAGCGCTTTGCATGGGTGCAAGCACTCATGACTACAGCTCGCTGCTACCTTTCCTCTGAGCGTACTGACCAAGTCACTCCATCATTGAGGATCCTTGAAGCATATTCAGGGTTTCGCGTTGGCGCTTACGCAAGATTGCCCGTTCCGGCCGCATATATGCTTTTTACAGCCGAAGTCCAGATTTCAGCAGCTTAGTTCCCATTCGAAGATCCAATCAAAGTCAACTTCTGAGTTAAATGCTCGCGCATTTGAAACAGGTCCGAAAGCATAGTGTTGCCACTGGAACGAATCGTCGCTTAGTTTTTGCAAGCACGAGGCCGCAAATGCAGAATTTCAGACCCAGAGCCGTTGCACCCAAGCCCTCTTTCATGCAAGCTTGTCTCGCCAGGCCCACGAGCAACTCGCTCTCAGCAGTGCGCTGCGGCAAGTGGACGCAGACCCAAAATGCAAACAAAGGTTCTCGGCACACGAGCAGACTACATCACCCTGAACACGCCCCAAAAGCAGGACCCCGCTCATCAATTCCGCAACACCTGCTAGCCCCTACAATATGATTCTATCATGAACAAGTCGGAAACGAAAAAGACTAGAAACGCCAAGAGATCCGAATGATCCGAAATCCAACCCTAACCTCCCTAACCAAATCCCCGAATCGCTTGCTCCTTGATGCGGAGCCTCAAGGCGCTGTGTGGTTTCGAGAGCTCTGCCTCACATGGCTGCATATTCTTGGAGCATATGAGTTGTGAGGGATGATGATTCAATGATAACGCGGGTATATGCTTGTCTTTCAGTTGGGGGTCCAGGTCCCGCTGGGTCGGGCCTGAGTTCGGCAGAAACAGGATTCAGATCCATTGAAAGTTGATTTAACACAAGCTGCCAGTCCCATGATGCAAGTGCCTTTGTGAATGGCAGCATGGAGCACCAAATTACCCGACTGCTCAGACCCGATCTAAAGCCTTGAGCCCGAAGCGGGTGTGGACCTGGCGTCAGTGCTAGAAGTCCGGGGGCATCATCTGGGAATCCCAAGCCCTGTACTCCTAATCATCCTCAGAACCGTATGTAAATCCTCAGCCCACCTCGTCACATTCCAAACCCTACTCCCCAAGCCAGACCCCAAAACTTGAGATGGCCCGCCTTGAGATCGGCAAGCCTTGCCGCAGTGGCTCCCTCTGGGATGTCGAAGAACTCATCCTGTGCATGGGTTTCAATTGTAGAGGTAGAGGCTTGGTATACAGAAAATTCAGTGGGTCCGTTGGAGCTTTTAGTGCTTGGGGGCTTGAGGCTTGTTGTTCAATCGGTAAACTCCGGGTTTTGATTGGTGTCACCGGGGAAATTGTCAATTAATCGTCTAGGACCTTCACGGCGCGATTTCTACACAACGTCACAAATGCTACAGACGTGGCTGTGCAAAGGGTTCGACCTGTTGGAAGCATGCAGAGCCGGAAGGATATGCGGGCATCATCGGCAGCAAAGGTGTAAGTGGCCGTGCTCGGTTGCTCGGCTATGGTTCTGGCCTGAAAAAGTAAGGTTGCCTAAACAGTGGAGGCAGCAGCCCCACAGCAAACAGTGTTCGGAAGCAATAGCATTCGGGGCCACGACCCTAAAAAAGCAGGATCCTTGAAAGGACCCCGCCCACAAGCAACAAACCCACCCACCGGGAAGTACGGGCACAGAACGATTCAAAAAACAGCCTGCGAGTTTTTGACTGGCAGGGCGCGTGGCCTTCTGTCCAAAATGTGAAGAAGAGCCCTAAACAACGGAGAGGCATTCAATGTTGTTAGCCTGCCTGAAAAGGCGACATGCAAAAGATTCACGCTCTGTGTCCGAAACGAGTCTCCTAAGTCCCTTTTTGCCTGAACTTGCGCACAAAGACTGGGGACTTTAAGGCAGAGCCTTGGAACCCCGAAGCTCGGGCTCCGGGGGATCCCAGGAGCCTCTTCGAGTCCCTCCGGTGGCGCATTGATGTCAAAGGACACCTCTCGCCAAGTCTTTCGGAACTTCATGGGGCTGCGAAAGGGCGTCGTTGGCCTTCTTAGGATCAAGACGGGTTCAACCCTAGACTGTAAGTTTCAGATTGTCTCGTAGGCCTTGACCTGAAACAAATCGTGCGCTGCATGGGCAGCGCCAATGGGAGTGCTTGCCATCGCTCCTCTTAAAGGGTGGGAAAGAATCATGTACAAAGACTGTCAACCCCCCTTCGACATGCCTTTCTATCTGTCCGCTGTTTTGCACGCTAAGTGCATATTGGCATCCTGGCTTGGGAAGTCGGCGGCCAAGACCCTGGAAACTGAACGCCTGATAGCACAAGGCCAGCCAAACCCTTACACAGCAAACGAAGCAACTTTGGAAAGGGGTCTTATAGGAGCATCGAGCTTTCAGCAGCAAGTTAGCCATGAACCACCACTCGTAACGAAAGCTAAGAACGTTTGTCGAACTAGCAACTTCACTCGAGCTCCCCCTCCACCCTGCAGCCGCAAACTCTACAGCACAATCCCAAACCTTGCGCCTTGTTCAAGTTGTGGTTGCAGTACGGAAAATTTAATATTTGCCTTTGCCTCGACGTTCCCTTTCGGGGAAAGCTACTGGGATCCAAACCCACTGAACCCGGCTCGTAGGCAAGTTGCAAGAATGCTTGCTCCAGTTCCGATTTGATCCTTGGAGCACATGCTATGCCTGCTTGCCGCATCATCGTCTTGTTGTTTAAAGCTGTGTTTTTTGATTGCGATCACTTCGACCTCGACCCTCTAAGTCCCGCAAAACCCGAAAGCCGAAGCAAGAGACCACCCGACGTCCGGACGGATTCGCGGATTTAGTCAGGATACACCGGGTCTTTGTTCGCTACTGCTGAGCGGCTTGCGGGTGTCGAAGGTGGCAAAAACGCATGTACAAAACCAGGGGCCCTAAGCAAGAACAACAACCAACCCAAATTCTCCAATTTCATTCAAAAGCCTGAATGTTTTTGCCAAACTATATCGAAAACTGGCGAGCGTTCGCAACATATCTCAATTCCGTCGCTACACTTGCAGACGCGCGAAGCCCGTCGTAGAGTTTGCCAGAATCAGGCCTCTCTGGTTCGGCTTCTTGAGTAAATTGGGCAACTTGGTTGGATCGTTTGTGCAACCTTTCACCACGAAAGGCAGCGAGTGGACCAAGGTAATTTACAAGATGTTACAAGGCCAGGTCAGGGAAATCCAAAAACACTTGTGGCATCCTGTCCGCTGTGGCAGACATGACAGTCATGTTCAAGGAGGCAGTCGTGTTCAATCAGGCCATCGGCTCGTGGAATGTGTGGCATATTTAGCAAGAAACGAATACCTGACGAATTTGCACAAAGTGTGAGCACGGTCCATGTTGGAGTGGACATTTCTGATCATCATATGAAGCCGCAATAGCTTCTAGAAGATTAAGAACAAAACGAAATCATGGACTT